GGCGATTTTAAGGAGAGTCCAGGGGAGGAGCAGTTTGCAAAGCCAGTGAGGGCACTTCCTGTGTTGACCTTGATGTGGGAGGAGTGAAGTCAGCCTAGTTCCTGGTGTGGGTCCTTAGCTGAACCCGGTAAGTAACTTCTTTATGTTTTGAAGTTGGGGCTTAATCCTATCTCAAATGTGAGTCCACGGGGCTAGGTACTAGTGTGCCTGTTCAAGTCCAGAGGTGGTTCAGAAAGCTTAGCTGACACCTGCTGTGAATCCCTATGCTATAAGGACCGTGCGGTGTAAATGTGAAGATAATAGACCCTTGATTCAAACTGTCTGGATTAGGGTCACAGCCACACCACATGCCAGCTTTAAGGACCTGGGCAGGTCACTCAGCATCTCTAAAAGTCAGTTTATCTGTCAGTAAAATGGAGCTGATTAGAGAGCTTACCTAAAAGGGTTGTTGTGAGGATGAAAGATGTGTATAAAAGACAGTTTATGTGTATAATGTGTGTTTCAGGGAACTGGATTTTCCTGTTGGATAACGGAAACAGTGATGTCTGCCTCTTCTGTCCCCACCTGAGGGTGTCCCAAAGGATCCAGTTAGTCCTGGCAGCAGCAAGGTTCCTAACATTCCTGCTCCCTCTGCATGAGCTGATCAGAACTTCTCTAATTATCCCAAACAGGCAGGGAGGAGGGGCACGTTGTGCATAGTGAGGGAATTCCTGGGGGAATTTTGTCATGTTGGAAGGCGGCTTAGGGGCAGGGTGTCCAGAAACCATAAATGTCAAGAATCAACTCCTTCACTGTCAGGTAGACTGAGGACACCTCTCCTGGAGCAGAGCTGTGGAGAATTGCATGGGAGGGAGGCCTGCGGAGGCAGACAGCCCCCAGCAGGGGCCTAAGGGCGCTGTTCCCAGCCTTCTCCCCTGCTCCAGCAGGAGCCCACCACAGCACCCTGGTGGGCTCTTTTTTTTTTTATAAACTGCTCTTTTCCTTCCCCAGGGCCCTTATTTTAGTTTCTCACTCACAAAACGGCTGACCCCACCTTCTCGCACTCAAAAAAAAGTAACAACTTCCGTCAACTATCTAGTGCATCTTGCCCAGAGACTTCTTTCGTTGGCCCTTTATGGGTTTTACAAGTTTAGAGCCAACTTTAAAAATACGCAGATATCACCTGCACATCTGAGTTTGTCTGAGTTTCTGCTTCTCCTCAGGAGAGTAAAAAAAGAAAATTAAAAAACAAAACAAGAAACAAAACTGCTCTTCAGCTGCATGAGCTGATTTTCATGCACAGGGCTCTCTAGGGCAGGGCAGGGCAAATAACAGTACACAGAAAGAAAAGCCACTCAGAAACACTCCTTAGCCTTCTTCTGTTCAACTCAGCAATTCTATTCCATGGTACAAACACAAAATAATTGAAAACGCATACTGAAAAATGTACTTGAACACAAACATCCACGGCAGCACTATTTACAACAGTCAAAGGTGGAAACAGTCCAGATGCCCTTCAAGGAAGGAAGAGGTGAACAAAAACGGTGCATCCATACTGCAGGGTCAAGCAAGGATGTAGCCCAACTCCCCCTCCCATCAGTGGGAAGGTGTCGGCCTGGCCAGCAGCCGCAAGGAGCAGAGCAGCTCCTACCCCAATGTTTCCCACGTCCTTGAGGGCTAACAAGCCTCACACTAGGCTCTCTGTCCTTGGCCTGCATGCACGCTGTTCCCCTCTCCCCTCTGCTCGGGCCCAGTGCGGAAACTCACCAGACTGACACCATCGGGTCTCCCCCAAGTGGTTTTTCCAAACCAGCAAAGAACAGTGTGGCGCTCCCAGGATTGGAGCTCCTATAGTACACATACCATGAAATATTATTCAGTCGTGAAAGGAATGAAGTATTGATATGCATTACATAACAAATGAACCTTGGAAACATTATGCTAAATGAAAGGAACCAGACACACAATGTCCCATGTTATATGATTACATTTATATGAAATATCCAGAATAGATAAATCCATAGAGACAGAAAGTAGAGGGGTGGTTGCCAGGGGCTGGTGGGAACAGAGAGTAACTGCTTAATGGGTATGGGGTTATGTTCTGTGCTAACAAGACATTTTGGAATTAGATAGACGCGGTGATTGCACAACATTGTGACTACTAAATGGCACTGAATTGTTCACTTTAACATGGTTAATTTTATATTCTGTGAATTTCATATTAGTTATTTAGAAAAACCTATTCAGTAATACCAGGAATCCTGGAAGCAGGGGTTGACAATTTCACCTCTGTCCAGGAGCGTACTTGTGCTGCTTGTAGCCTTGGGGTGGTGGCGGCATTTCCTTCCCCAGGTTCTCATTTTAGTTGCTCAAGCACAAAACAGGGATCCCACTCCTCCCCTCAAAAGGGGCTTTTTGGCTGTCAGCTCCCTGTTGTCGCAGAGACTTCTTTTGTTTGGCCTTTACCATCTTCAGCTGAGCAGCTGGTTCTGTGCATTGGCTCTCCGGGCCTGCTCTGGGGACCTGCCTGACCTCTGCAGACATTCATTCAGGGGCGGGGCTGAGCTGCAAGCCTTCAGCGCCCTGCGGCCTGTTGAACCCTGGCCTTTGAACAGGACTAGCCTAGCAACTTCCTTTTCATCCAGAAAGTCAAACAGCTGGCCACTTTCCCCTAGTAGAAGGAATCACAGCCTAAGCAAGACTCAAATAGCCAGGTTATAAACCACCCGCTTTCTTTTTGCTCAACCCTCACCTCTTTTTCTTACATACTCATTACAGATTCTGAATTACAGGCCAGGGTGAGTGTGGGGCAGTTTGGCGAGATACCAGCTGTTCTCTCTGTGTCCGGGTAGAAGAGTATTAGAGCTTGTCGAAATGTTGAGAAAGATGCTGGTGAGATGAGAAGAAATTCACTGAACCTAATAGAGTTAAGGAAAATAACATTACAGATATCAAGAAAAGAAAATTTGGAAACACTGACAAAATGGGAATTGATGACTAGGTCAAAAAGAGGAATAGATGGACCCGACAGAAATAATATGAGGAGAGAAAAGAGAGATCCTTAGCTTGTCACCATTAGACTTAGGGCCAGGGCCCTTTGTACTATGTCACCTCAGGCCGCATCGCAAAGGGGTCAGTTAGCCTTGATATCTGCGTACTACTGTTGCAAAGTCTCAGTAGGTTAAGGCTGTGTGATAGCAGGAGAGAAAAACCTTTTCCAAAGGGTCAGGCATGTCCAAACCACATTCCTTTTCTTCCACATCACCTGCTCTCCTTACTCAGCTCTGCTTCTGGGCGCAGAGACAGGAGAGGGTTTGGGATGGGCTGGCTACATTTGTTGCTCCCTGTGTCTGAGTGGCAGAGTTTTAGAGCTTGTGTAGATGTTGAGAGCAGTTAAACGAAACAAGTTAAGATGCAAAGAAATGATGATCACCATTGACCTGGGCCGGGGTCTTTGCTCCATGTCACCTGGGGCCATGTCATAGTGCCAATGGTGACTCACCACTGTTACAGTCAGGGTCACACTGGATTAGGACACTTAGTAGCAGGGACAGAAACCTTTGCTCTATGGGATTTAACAAAATAAGGACTTCTTTTTCTTTTTCTTTCTTTCTTTCTTCTTCTGGCCCCGCTTACCAGAAAGTCAAGAGTTTACCTTGAGACTTCTTTCAGGTCTTATCTTTCTTTCTCCTGCTTTTCATTCCTCAAGCCAGTAAATTCTCTGTTGAGATGATTCTTCAGCAAGTTCTCCCAGGAGCTTTGAGCAAATATCCTACCAGCGTCTAGCCCCACAGCAGAAAGTATCTGCTTAGGTTTCAGTTAAAATCCCTCATAGAGTCTCATTCACCTGACTTGGGTCATGGAGCAAAGCCATCCATGAGCAAAGCAGTGGTCCTAGAGCATATGCACTTTGAGCTGGTCCTACCTGGATGACAGGTCTATTCATTCAGCTCAGAAAGAATGAGGAGTCCAGCTCATTCTCCAGGCAGTAGCCAGAAATACCAGTTTGATTAATGTATACTTTGCCCAAATGGCTACCTTTTCACAATGATTTCTCATCTCAGAGTAAAAGCCAACAGAATTGGTTTTAAGGCCACTGTTATCTGTCTGATTTCATCTCAGTCCACACACTGTCTCTCTCACTCTGCTCTGATCACCCTGGCTTCCTAGGCAGTTTCCACTTTAAGCTTTTTAACTTCCTATTGTTTCTGCCTGAATGGTGTTTCCCACATATTTGGCCATAGCTAATTCCCTCACAACCTTCAGGCCATAGTGAGGGTTTCTTTGACCACTTTATTTGAAATTAAATTTTACTGTGTACACATCTTATCTTCTTTCTTTGCAGTAATTTTCTCCAGAGCACTTATCACAACCTAAGAAATTGCATGTTTTATTTATTTTTTTAACTATTTGTGTCATCCCAACCAGCCCTAAAATGTAACATTTCTGAAGGCAAGCAAGTGCTATATCAGTAGCAAATACATAATAGGTTTTCATAAGCTTTTTTATTGAATGAATCAATAAATCAATGTGGGGATGAATATAAATCTTTGAGTGTGGAACTTCGAGTGGGTTCAGCTAAAGGTGAAATTGAGTGGGTCAGGTACCAAGAATACAATGTACTCTATAACTCTCCTGTTTACATTGGACCTATTTGTAAACCCTATTTTAATTGACACCAATTTGAGCCTCTTTTAAGTCATCCCAACAAAACCACAGATAAGCTGTTTATCATTTCACTCATCACTTAATCTGGATTTACAACGTCTCATGTTTAAAACATGGAACCAGTGATAACGCTTTTCTTACATGGTTACAGAGCCTATTAAGTGAACTTTTAGCATGTGAAAGCAATTATTACAATAAAAGTAGTAAACAAAAGACTTACGATTGCAGATATTTATAACCACTGTTTGTATTTACATATTTAAAATACATTAATCATAATTAGGTTAATCAAAGAAATCCAAGTGCAAAAGTAAAACTATGTGTTTTTGTTTTGTTTTCCTTGCCTTAGGGGATCATGGACATTGAAGCATATTTTGAAAGAATTGGTTATAAGAACCCTGGGAACAAACTGGACCTGGAAACATTAACTGACATTCTTCAGCACCAGATCCAGGCCATTCCCTTTGAGAACCTTAACATTCATTGTGGGGGACCCATGGAATTGGGCTTGGAGGCCGTTTTTGATCAAGTTGTGAGGAAGAACCGGGGTGGGTGGTGTCTCCAGGTCAATCATCTTCTGTATTGGGCTCTGACCACAATCGGTTTTGAGACCACAATGTTGGGAGGCTATGTTTACAATACTCCAGCCGACAAATATAGCAACGGTATGATTCACCTTCTGCTGAAGGTGACTGTGGATGGCAGGGACTACATCGTCGATGCTGGGTTTGGACGCTCTTACCAGATATGGGAGCCTCTGGAGTTGATTTCTGGGAAGGATCAGCCTCAGGTGCCTTGCATCTTCCGCTTGACCGAAGAGAGAGGAATCTGGTACCTGGACCAAATCAGAAGGGAGCAGTACATTCCAAACCAAGAATTTGTTAATTCTGATCTCCTGGAAAAGAAAAAGTACAGAAAGATCTACTCCTTTACTCTTGAACCTCGAGCAATTGAAGATTTTGAGTCAGTTAATGAATACCTCCAGACGTCTCCAGCATCTGTGTTCACAAGCAAGTCATTCTGTTCTTTGCAGACCCCTAATGGGGTTCACTGTTTAGTGGGCTTCACCCTCACCTTTAGAACATTCAATTATAAGGACAATATGGATTTGGTGGAGTTTAAGACATTGAAGGAGGAACAAATAGAAGGAGAGCTGAAAAATATATTTAAGATTTCCTTGGAGAGGAAGCTTGTGCCCAAACATGGTGATACATTTTTTACCGTTTAGAGTGGGGACTAGAAATGGTTTTCAGTATTATTTCAGGTACTGAAACTTTTTATTTAAAAATTTCCAATAAATGTAAAAGTAGAATAAAATAATAAATCCCGATTTATTTATCACCCATTTTACCAACTATCAACTGGTAGCCTGTCTCTCATATTTCCTCAATGACCCCATGTGATATTAAAGAAATCTTAGGCATCAAATCATTTCACCCTTAACAATGTCAGCATATGTATTTAGATAACATTTTTAGAGGAACAGAACCACATGTCTCTTTAAAATTAATAGTAGTAAAGGTATTTGAAGGGAGCAGTTTTCTTGGGAAAAAATAGTGATTTCTGCTAGAAAAACTACCATAATGGTTTAATGTTGAATTCATAAAAAAATGTTTACCCATGATTCAGTAAATGGAAAATTGAGGAAACAGTTTTTATTAAATTCAACCAGCATATGTCCAATGTCCACTTTTTACCAAAAGACCCCACATGTATAATTTAGAATTAGAATTCAACAAAGAAGTATGAGACATGACATTGCTTCCTAATAGCTCTCAAGACAAGGCTTAAACCAACACAGAGTAACATGCGATTAAGTTCCCAGAGAGTGACACAGCTAATAGTTTCTTACACAGTTCTTTTTGCAACCACAGTTCTTTATGTAGCATTTCCCTTAATATAGAAACACTGATATTTAGAAGTTTTTAAATCCCAGATTAAGTCATTTTGTCTAATAGTAATAATTATTGTGACTTTTAAAATATTTATTATCTGTAAAAACTTGATAATTTCTTATTGTTTAAAAGTATGTTAAAACATTATTGGCTAACACAATGCCAGTCACAAAGTATTTGTTTGGCAGAGTGAGGAGATTATGGGGCCAGGTCTTTCTCACACCCTCTTTCTTACCTCCCAGTTATTTCCTTTTACTTCTTCCCATACTTTATCATAAGAGAAACAGTATGAGCTTGGAAGTGTACAGATCTGAGTTCAAATCCTGTGGACAGTGGGTGAATCACCTCATGAATCTGGCTCTGATCCCTCAGAGGTAAATGGGGATAGTACCTACATAACTGCCAAGCCTAGAGCCACCTCTCAGTAAATATTTGTTATAGGGATTAGTGAATAATGCTGGTAATGTTTTTATACTGAGTCAGCATTTGATAAGAGCTTTTTCATCTTGCTTTATCTCCTGAGCTCTAATCCGGTGGTCCGGAATCTGCCTGCATGTTCCTTGGTTAAATGTGAATATGACACCAGATGGCCCCAATCTGACGGTGCCTTTGTGCTTCAGAATTGGATTTTTTACTTATCTATAACTCCCATTTTCTGTTTCTGAATTCCAGAATCAGGGCTATAATTCCAGCTGCAGACTTGTTCTAACATTATTGTCCCTCTTCAACTTGTGATTATCATAAAGATAATGAAGAAATAAAATAAAATGGAGTAAGCATTGCTAAGAGAGACACTTAAAATAGAGTCAGGAGACTATTCAGGAAGTGGGGCCCGTGCACAGCTTGTGCCTCAGTTCTCGGAGTTGCTATGAAGTTGCTAACCTGTTGCTAACTCACCTCAAGGCTGAGCCAGCCACAAACATCCTGGAACACCTGCTGTATGGACACTTAGGGACTTCACTTTCTCCTTGGAGCTCTGGCCTCCTTCATTTGCATATTGGAACTAGCCAGTCCCAGGTAAGAAAGATTTACACTTCCAGGGTTTTGCATTTATTAGCCCTGCCTTCCTTTATTCTCTCAGGAATGCGGGTTGGGTTGCTACCTGAATTTGCATCTCTGGGATTGGAATCCTTTTGTTCAGGTACAAGCCTTTTGTTCTCCTTTGCAACCTGGTTAACTATACGTTTAAGAGAAGAGCAGTGGCCAGAATGGAGATCTGTTAGCTAAAAGAATGTTACTTTGGATTACGGGGATTTCACGTACTGCTGTAAGAGCTGGGACATGCTGCTCAGAGAGGAGGTCCTCAGGAGAGGTGGAGAGGGAGCCTGGCCTGAGTGGAAGGAGGGATGAAAGATGTATTTCAGTATTTGAAAGCTTGCCGTCTTCCTTATCTCACCTGATTGCCTTGTTCAGCTCTGCTGCTATTTTGCAGCAATGTCAGGTCCTCACTCTTGGGCAGAAAGGATTCTCTCACATTCTGGCTAAGAGCATGTCAATGGAAGAGATGTTGGCAAGAGACACAGACCAGATTAAAAGGTGGCTCAAGGAAAAAGGTGCAGTTTTGTACAAATGAGTTAAGGAAGTCATATTGTGCAATGAGCATCGCAAAACCCAATGCAATTGTTTTTCCTTAAATGCATCTGCCGCATGCAAAAAAAAAAAAGTGTTGAGAGACTGCTAGATATAAAATTTAGCTGCCAGATTGGAGAGCTGTGCCTCACTGCAATGTTAACTTTTCTCCAGTGAAATCTAAACAAGTGGTCTCTGTGGATGAGTGATTACTTACCCCGTTACTATGGCTGCTTTACAAATTGCCCTGAAACTTAGTGGTTTAAAACAACCATTTTATTATGTTCACAGATCCTGTGGGTCTGCAGTTTAGGAAAGACACAGTAGAGTTGTTCTTTTCTGCTCTCCAATGTCCAGCCTCAGCTGGGAGGAGGCGGGTGATTAGTGGTTATTTGATGGTTGTGTCCAGCATCATCTAGAAGCATCTCCACTGACATGTGTGGTGCTAGGCTGGGGTTGCAATGGGAGCACCTACATGTGGCCTTTTCATGTCATCTGGGCTTCCTCACAGCATGGTGGCCTCAGGGCAATTGTATTTCTTACATAGTGAGGCAGAATTCTATGTGTGAGGGTTCCAGCTCATAAGGTGGAAGCTGAATCACCTTTTTTAAAACTTTAGTGTTTTTAGTTGAGGTGAAATTTACATAACATAAAACTATTTCAAAGTGAACAATCCATTGATATTTAGTATATTCAGTGTTATGAAATCATCACCTCTAACTAATTTCAGAACATTTTCATCACCCCAAAATAAACACCATACCCATTGAGCAGTTCAAATTACCTAGCATCAAAGTCACACATCATCATCTCTGCCTTCTGTTGATTATAAGGAAGTCACAAGCCTTTCTGGATTCAAGGGGCGAGAACTGGGCTTCACCTCTTGGTGTGGAAATGGAAAGGTTCTAGATCATCTGGGACAGAAGATGTTCTTAAGGCCATCTTTGATAACTACAGTCTGACACAGTCAACCTTCTGGTCACAAAAATTTACATTCTTTATACGTGCAAATATATACCCATTCTAAAATTCCCCAAAAGTCTCCTCTTACTGTGGCATCGGGCTCAGGCTTTAAGTCCAGGATCTTGTCATCAGGTCCAGGTGCAGATGAAGCTCTTCAGGTGCAGTGCTGTGGGTACAGCTCTTTGAGTTCCATTATTCTTGATGGGAAAGCTTATGAACTATTGGGACAAATTACCTTTCCTCTGCACACCCAGCACACAATAGTGAAACAAGCATAAAATAAACAAGCACAAAATGGACCCTTCCATTCAAAAAGTGGTTAATTAGGAGCACACAGCAGTGACCCAAGTCTGTAAGAGTTCTGAAGTCCAGCTAGGCCCATGTAGCTAGTTCCTTGATTAGGGCTCAGTCCTAATGGGAGTTGTTTCCATGGTTCTTGCCTTTAATCTCTGGGCTCTTGGATTCACATGCCTTGGCCACAGTTTTCATAATAAGTAAAATTAATAAAAGAACCTATTTCTAATAAGGAGCTTACAGTCCAATGGGAGCTAATAGAACTGTTTGTGTAAGGATTTTCCTCCAGGATAGGGCCAGTTTCATCCACAGACCTCCCAAGAAATACCAAGATACTCTAGTCTCAAATGCACTTTGGTGACTACAGGGATGCGTGAGTTTATGCAACTAAACATGCGTGCATTTATTAATATGATGGGGCAGTGTTTTTTAGAAAATGGTGTCCTGAGTTTGGGTACCCTGAAAACAGAGCTGTTTTCAACTTGTGGGCATAACAATGGAGTCAAGTGAGAAGGAGGGCCTGGATTGGGAGAATGTTAGGTTAAGAAAATAAGATTACTTGGGCACATGGAGGTTAGATGTAGCAATTTAAGACTGAGACTTGTGGGTTCTTTATCTGGGAAGTGATACCAGTAAGCAGGAGAGGGAACAGGGAAAGTGAGGAAGAGGCGGAAAAGTAATAAGAGGGCTCATTAAGTTTGCTGGTGTGGGCAGCAGAGGCTCAATGTCACCAGGATTTAGAAAGGAGTATATAGAAATGCCTCCTGGAGTTTTTCAGCAAAGAAGAGAGACAGCAACATTTATCCACTGGTCCCCATCTCCCACAGATGGAGAGTTCCCCCTGAGGTGTTACCTCCCCTGAACTTCCAAGCTCCACAAGTGATTGAGCTCTGACAGGCAACCACTGGAGAAGCCCTGTGCCAGGCAGTGGAAACACCCATGTGAGATGCATGTGAGACAAGACACTGTCATCAGTAAGCCATTGGAAGCCCACATGGCTGGACTAGTGACTTTGCCAAGGCAGATGGAGACGTAGGTGAAGGGAGAAGAACAGACTGGGGATGAAAGCCAGGGTCCCTCCAAATCTGCCTTGGTTGTCAGAGCAGCCACACTGGGATGAGTAGTCAGACTTGGAACAAAAGTTTAACCGTTTTTGTTTGTTGTTTCATGATTTATAAACACTAGACACAGACACAAATAAGAAACAAACACACAAAGAACCTATGCAGCAGAATAAAAACTGTCATCCTAACAGCAGGAGGGTGAATTGCTAAACATGAACCTAGAAAGAACCTCTTCTATTTTTCAGGACTTTACGAAACAGTGAGTCCACATACTCTTTAATAATTGCTAACAATATCCATTAGCTTTCCCTGTCAATAATTGTTGGGTTGTTTTCTGGATATTTGTCAGAATAACTGTGATAGTTATAGTTTAATTGTTAGCATTAAACTTTCACTGTATTAAGCTGCTGAGATTGGGGGTTGTTTGTTATGGCAGCATGCTCTAGCCCATCCTGACAAATGCTTTAAAATAAATCAGGCCCAGCTGGGCGTGGCTCAGCAGTTGAGCATCGACCTAGGATCCAGGTGATCGG